TGTATGTATATATATATAATGGAAATCAAATTAATCCGTGCAAGACACCCAAAAGTATGAAAAAAAAATTTTACCACATGAAATATTAAAAGTTTAATGCACACAAACTGAAGAAGACATGCACAGTTTGTAGTACTCTACTAACAATAGAATACATGACACTTACCTTTAATGAAGATCTGGTGATGATTGATGGGATGGGAGGAGGGGAGAGTGTCGAACTTATTGTTTAGAAGGGGAATCCCCTTCCATTAGGACTTGAGGTGACAGCTTCCTTGATTGCTGTTTTCCTGGTCACTATAGTAGCGATGGTTGATTGGGGTTTTGTATACAACCTGGCCAGCTCCAACACACACACTCCACTTTCGTACTTTGCAATTATCTCTTTCTTCATTTCAATAGTCATTAGCACCCTTTTTCTCGAAGGGTTGGCACTAGAAGCTTTCTTGGGGCCCATGGTGACTTATTTTGCAGAAACAAGCACCAAAAACACTGTGATAATATGGAATGTACCTAATGTATCCTTAGATGCGAGCACACTGGCTGGCTTGTAAACACTCGCTGGCACACACGGGGCAGTTCAGGCCACACGTGGACACGTCTCGGACGAATCGCATGTACCGGATTTTTTAACGGGAACCGAGGCAAAATTTTTGCGTTAAAATGTATCGAATACCGGATTTATCGGATACCGATGCCATCGCAAACCGGGGATCCACTGTACTTGTTTACTGACAACTCAGACTTACGACGGGCTCTCTGACCTATATGCATACCTAAAAATGTATATTAGAGCTGATTTCCTCTATTCTGGAATCGACACCATGCCTAACCCTTCTAGGGTAGGGTAGGTGCCTGAGCCCGAGCCTTTAGCTCATAAGACTGTCATTCCCATTTGCCCCCTTGGGGCGGGGATGGCAGACCAGAGAGGCCTAGCTTGTGGCTAGGCCTGGGGACAGTTGGTCCCAAAGATGAGGAGGTACTTGTGCCTCCTCCCATGGGAGACTTAGGTCTCAGACACTCCCTAAAGAGGGAGCCAAGGCCGGGCCACCACTTGGAAAAGGCCCGGGCCGGGAGAATACCGGCTAATCTTTAATAATAATAATAACTCTATTCTGTTTATTACAATATACAGTGGAACCTCAAAAATCGAACCACATATCGAACCTTTCGAAAATAGGACCATTTTTTCGAACAAACTGTGTCCCTATTATCGAACGCGCCCCTATTTTATGACCGCCGGGTACGGGACCTGTCTGCCGCCCGCTCTGTCCACATCCCCGCACAGGCGCCATGAGCAGTCTAGCTTTGTTTATGCTTGAGTGAACACTAACCTGCGCTCTCATTCACGCATTTTACGATTATTTCGTTGTATTTAGTGCTTGTGGGACTGTGAAATGAGCTGCCATGGGCCCAAAGAAACTTGCTAGTGGTACCCCTGTGGTAAAGAAAGTGAGAAACACCGTAGATGTGAAGAAGGAAATAATACAGAAGTATGAGAGTGGTGCGAGACTTGTTGAGCTTGCCAGGATGTATGGGAAAAACAAGTTGACCATCGGTTCTATCCTGTCAAAGAAAGAACAAATCAAGGAAGCTGATGTTGCAAAAGGTGTTAATATGCAAACCAAAAAAAGACCACAAATAGTTGAAGAGGTTGAGAAGTTGTTGCTGGTGTGGATCAAGGATAAAGAGATTGCAGGTGATAGTGTTTCAGAGACGATTATTTGCGAAAAGGCAAGGAAGTTGCATGCCGATCTGGTACAGAAAACTCCTGGAACCAATGCTGATAGTGAATTTAAGGCCAGCAGAGGCTGGTTTGACAGATTTAAGAAGTGTAGTGGCATACACAATGTTGTAAGACATGGTGAGGCAGCCAGTTCAGACAAACAGGCGGCTGAGAAGTTTGTACAGGAGTTTAAGGGGTACATAGACAGTGAAGAATTGAAACCTGAACAAGTGTTTAATTGTGACGAAACATGCTCGTTTTGGAAGAAAATGTCAAAAGAGGACCTTCATCACACAGGAGGAAAAGGCACTGCCAGGACACAAGCCTATGAAAGACAGGCTTACTCTTTTGTTCTGTGCTAATGCTAGTGGTGATTTTAAAGTGAAGCCTTTACTTGTGTATCATTCAGAAAATCCCAGAGTGTTTAAGAAAAACAACGTCTTTAACCCTTAAACGGTCCAAACGTATATATACGTTTTTTCAACATTTAAAGTATGTAAAAAAATTTAGATCTTCTTTTGTTTTTTACATTTGAAAATGTGTAAAAAACTTTTATCTACATTTTATTTTTTGTTATACAGTGGACCCCCGCATAACGATTACCTCCGAATGCGACCAGTTATGTAAGTGTATTTATGTAAGTGCGTTTGTACGTGTATGTTTGGGGGTCTGAAATGGACTAATCTACTTCACAATATTTCTTATGGGAACAAATTCGGTCAGTACTGGCACCTGAACATACTTCTGGAATGAAAAAATATCGTTAACCGGGGGTCCACTGTATTTGAAAATATGTAAAAAAACGTAGATCTACTTTTGGAGCACTACGGATTTGAACATCGATCTGTTTGGACCGGTTAAGGGTTAAGAACAAGTTATGTGTCTTGTGGAAAGCTAATCATAAGGCATGGGTCACAAGACAAATTTTCAAAGAGTGGGTTCATGAAGTGTTTGGCCCCAGTGTGAAAAAATACCTCCAGGAAAAGAAATTGCCACTCAAGTGCCTCCTGTTAATGGACAATGCTCCTGCTCATCCTCCAAACTTATTAGACCTCTTATTTAAGGACTTCAGTTTTATAAAAGTGAAGTTCTAGCCTCCTAACACCACTCCTCTCCTCCAGCCCATGGACCAGCAGGTCATTTCTAACTTCAAAAAACTCTACACAAAAGCAGTGTTTGAAAAGTGCTTTGAAGTGACCACAGACACTAAGTTGACCCTAAGAGAGTTCTGGAGGAATCACTTCAACATCTACAACTCCATAAGCCTTATAGGTAAGGCTTGGGAGGGAGTGACTTCCAGGACTTTGAACTCTGCTTGGAGACAATTGTGGCCAGATTGTGTCCAAAAGAGGGATTTTGAAGGGTTTGAGGCTGACCCTGACCCAGCTCACCCTCTGCCTGTTGTGGATTCTATTGTGGCATTGGGGAACACCCTGGGGTTGGAGGTGAGTGGTGAGGATGTGGAAGAGTTGGTGGAGGACCACAGGGAAGAGCTATCCACTGAAGAGCTGCAAGAGCTTCATCTGGAGCAGTATCGGGCCACAGCTGAGGAACTTGCTTCAGAGGAGGAGGAAGAGGGAGTGGATGAGGTGCCTTCTTCAAAGATTAAGGAGATTTGTGCCAAGTGGAATGATGTCCAAATGTTTGTGCAAAAGTACCACCCTGAGCAAGCTGAAACAAGCTTTGCAACAAGTTCAGTGACAGAACCATGTCCCATTTTAGGGAAATGTTAAAGAGGCGCCAGAAACAGAGGACTGTGGACAGTTATTTTGTGAGACAGGGGTCCAGTGACTCTCAAGCTGGTCCTAGTGGCATTAAAAGACAGAGAAGGGAAGTAACCCCAGAGAGGGCTTTACCTGAAGTCCTCATGGAGGGGGATTCTCCTTCCAAACACTAACCCCAACTCCCTCTCTCCTCCTCCCTATCTTCCAGATGCCATCACCAATCTTCAATAAAGGTAAGTAAAAATGTTATTTTGTATATACATGTATTACTATACGTAATTAAAAACTATAGTATTTGTTGTATGTAAAACTGTAATTAATCTCTATAAAATGTATTTTTTGTGTTAATATTTTTTGGTTTCTGGAACGGATTAATTGCATTTCCATTATTTCTTATGGGAAATATTGCTTCAAATTTCAGACTTTTCGAATTTAGAACTAGCTCCTGGAATGGATTAAGTTCGATTTTTGAGGTTCCACTGTGCAGTAAACTACTGTATAAACATTTAAAAATATACCAGAAATGTTATAAATGGTGCAAAGGTAACATTAAAACAATATCAAAGATGGTTGACACAAACTCCCTACCATTATAGTATGCTCCTCACTGAGCGATGAATTCGTTTACCAACATGGTCTTAGGAACGGAACTCCGTCGTTAAGTGAGGAGAGGTTGTACTTCATTTCTCTTCTGCAATATAGAGATAGTATAGTTTACATGTAATATATATTGTTAGGCACAAAAAGAAGCCACTAGCATGCATTGTATGTCGGGTAGACTAATACTAATGTTTAAAGACTGCTTAAGAATTCGACAAATTATTAAGTAGGAGTTTTTAAGTGTATGAAAAAAATGAGAGGTAGATAGATGAACAGTTTTGCTTTATCCTATTGTGGATAATAATTTACAAGGTTACAAATACAAACAAATAGAAATTTTTATTTTGTTGCAAGATTACATTGAGCTTATGTAATTACAATAATGAAATGCAGTGTAAAGAGAGCCACTATCATGCCATGGCATTATGGGCAGACTTCTTCTTTCTTTCAACACACCGGCCATATCCCACCAAGGCAGGGTGGCCCAAAAAGAAAAACGAAAGTTTCTCTTTTAAATTTAGTAATTTATACGGGAGAAGTGCCCTTGCTCCCGGCATTTTAGTCGCCTCTTACAACACGCATGGCTTACGGAGGAAGAATTCTGTTCCACTTCCCCATGGAGATGGGCAGACTTACAGACTACTAAATAGTTGACAGTTTGCTTTCGTTTTAACCCTTAAACGGTCCAAACAGATCGACGTTCAAATTCGTAGTGCTCCAAAAGTAGATCTACTTTTTTTACATATTTTCAAATATAACCAAAAAAAAAATGTAGTTAAAAGTTTTTTTACACGTTTTCAAATGTAAAACAAAAAAGATGATCTACATTTTTTTACATACTTTCAGATGTTGAAAAAACGTATATATACGTTTGGACCATTTAAGGGTTAAGGACGATTTTGTTAGTAACCTGTTCTCGACATGTTATTTATTGGTGAATATTTTAATAGGAGATGAGTGATTCTTCGAGCGATTCCGACAGCAACAGCAGTTCCTCCTCCTGTAGCGAGTCCGACTCAGAGTCCGAACCTGAGCAAGATGCGACAGCAAAAAAGACCAATGGGCACGGTAAGTACTTACCTTTGTAATGTAGAACATTCACTGTTATAATTGTGGGAAAGCGTTTAACCCATCAAAATGGCTTGTAATCAATTTTGATCTGTCGTAGGAAAAGTAGCCCCCATTTCTTTGGATCAAGAGCCTGGGACTGCCAGCAGTGTTGTAGATACCACACAAGATAGTGTTACATTTAGAATCTCTAATGTTGAAAGGTTCTTAATTCAAGGAATTTGAGCTGCAGTTCATATCCTCAGATCAAACCTGATGATCTCTGATTCCTCAGGTGCTGCATGACCCCTTTGGGTTTAGTGCTTCATGAAAAAAATAATAACGATAATGTTTAGATGCAGTTCATCCTCCTAAGCATGTGTCTGTATTTTACTGTGACCGAAGATAATCGTTAAATTGACTTGACTCTAAAAATGTTGCGATTTTACCGTTGTGCTTCATAAGTCATCTTCGTATTTTGTGTTTGTTTGTTCATGCAATGAAACAGTCTTGTCGTTATGCATAATTTGCCATTATTCATTCAGTAGCTGTCTTTAAATAAGTGTGCAAACATCACAATTCATATGTACCCTCGTGTATCTTTTCTTTGGTTCTTTGGAGTGGAGTTGTTACACTTCCCACTTTCCAGGACTCAAATCTAGCTAACTGGTTTCCCTGAATCCCTTGATAAATGTTACCCTGCTAACACTTACAGCATGTCCATTGAACACCATTTTATCTCCATTCACTCTTATTGTAACATTGACACAAGCCTGCTGTGTGCTCGGGCTCCTGAAACTCAAAGGCTCCTTTACCCCCTCCAACTATTTCTGGGATAACCCCTACCTGCCACCCCAAATTTATACACCCTTTTCATCATCCTATTCCTCTACACCATCTCTATAAGCCCTCAACAACTTCTCAGCACTCTGAATTACATTTTTGGTGTTCCCTTCATTGCTTTTTAATTTCTACTCTCCGAATTCTCTGCATGATATTCACACCACACTTTGCATGACATCTCCACTGCCTCTATCCTCCTCCTCAGTGCAGCATTCAAATTCATGTCTTACACTCATTTAAAAGTTCTGGTATCACTATACTCTGGTACAATCCCTTTTTTGTATCCTAAATAATATTTTTTCTTCCCACAGATGCCTCAACACATCGTCCACTTTTGTCCTCTCATATTTTTTTATTCACCTCATCTTTCATAGCCCAATCTTCACCCTAGCATTCATTTCCTTTACAACCTCTTCTATAAATGTTAAACAACCATGGTGACATCGCACATCTCTGTCTTAGTTCTATTTTCACTGGAAATCCCTTTTTCCCCCATATTTTAACCTGAGCCTCACCATCCATATAAAAAAAACTTAAATGTTTTTGGTAGCCTACCTCCTGTTCCACACACATGCAAAATCTGCCTCATGACTCCCCTACCCCCACTATCATAGGCCTTTCCTAAATCCACAAATGCAACAAACAGCTTTTTGCCCTTATTTAAGTGCTCCTTATTTATGTTTCAATGGAAAGACTTGGTCTACATATATCCTACCCTTTCTAAATCCTCCCTTCTCCTCGGCAATCCTATGTTCTGTCGTACCCCAGTCCTTTCAATAATAATTCTTAACATAAACTTTACCTGATAGGTAGTAGGTTGGTAGACAGCAACCACCCAGGGAGGTACTACCATCCTGTGGTAGTAGGTTGGTAGACAGCAACCACCCAGGGAGGTACTACCATCCTGCTAAGTGAGTGTACAACAGAAGCCTGTAATTGTTTTACACGATGGTAGGATTGCTGGTGTCTTTTTTTTCTGTCTCATAAACCTGCAAGATTTCAGGTATGTCTTGCTACTTTTACTTACACTTAGGTCACATTACACATACATGTTTTTTATACATGTACAAGCATATATATATATATACACACACCCCTCTGGGTTTTCTATTTTCTTTCTAGTTCTTGTTCTTGTTTATTTCCTCTTATCTCCATGGGGAAGTGGAACAGAATTCTTCCTCCATAAGCCATGCGTGTTGTAAGAGTCAACTAAAATGCTGGGAGCAAGGTGCTAGTAACCCCTTCTCCTGTATATATTACTAAATGTAAAAGGAGAAACTTTAGTTTTTCCTTTTGGGCCACCCTGCCTCGGTGGGATACGGCCGGTGTGTAGAAAGAAACATGAAAGATTTCAGGTACTTCATGCTGCTTCTACTTACACTTATGTTACATTACACATGCATGTACAAACATGTATATATATACATACCCCTCTGGGTTTTCTTCTATTTTCTTATTAGTTCTTATTCTTTTTATATTTCCTCTTATCTCCATGTGGAAGTGGAACAGAATTCTTCCTCCGTAAGCCATGCGTGTCGTACAAGGGGAGCAAGGGGCTAGTAACCCCTTCTCCTGTATACATTACTAAAGTTTAAAAGGGAAGGTCTTGTTTTTCTTCTTAGGCCACCCTGCCTCAGTGGGATACGGCCGGTGCATTGGAAAAAAAAGAAACTTTACCTAATACTATAATCAAAGGCTTATCCCCTACAATTTTTTTCAACACATCGGCCATCTCCCACCAAGGCAAGGCGACCTGAAAAAGAAGAAAGAAGTTATTCTTCCTTTTACATTTAGTAATTATACAGGAGAAGGAGTTGCTACCCCTTTGCTCCCAACTTTTTAGTCGCATTGTACTACACATGTGGCTTATTGAGGAAGGATTCTCCTCCACTTCCTCTTGCAGATCCCCAATAATTCTTTACATTAATCTTTTGTCCTCTTTTTTTCATTTCACAAAAGAACTATACCTGCTCTCTGCCAGTTCATTCATTTATTGAGCAAATACACATGCCAGTTAAACACTATACCACCAACTGCTTCCAATATCTGTCTTTATCCCATCTATCCCAACCACTTAACCCCTACCCCCTTCCCTTCCTGTCATTCTGCCTACTGCCTTTTATACTTTCCTCCAATGACCAATGCATAATTTTTTTTTTCCTTATTAACACACTGGTCATTCCCACCAAGGCAGAGTGACCCGAAAAAAGAAGAAACTCGTCACTCACTTCATTTTTAGATTTAGTTAACCTTAATCTAGCTTAATCTATATAGAAAAGCTTCCTTAAGCATATGAAGTTAATAACCAGTGTTTGTATTAAAAAAGATAGGTTACTGAATGTTAACTCTCAAGTTCAGGAGTGCCCCGCTTTACAGCGCTTCACTTTGTTGTGTTTCACTAATAGAGCAGTTTTCAGTTATATCCATTCTTCATATACAGTGGACCCCCGGTTTACGATATTTCATTCCAGAAGTATTTTTCAGGTGCCAGTACTGAACGAATTTGTTCCCATAAGGAATGTTGTGATTAGATTAGTTCACTTCAGACCCCCAAACATACACGTACAAACGCACTTACATAAATACACTTACATAATTGGTTGCATTGGGAGGTGATCGTAAAGCGGGGGTCCACTGTATTCAGAATTTCTACAATAAATTTATTTGCCACTCACTATAAGCTGAAGACAAAATTATTTTGTGTGTGGTATATATGTATCTTTTAGGCCTAGCTCTATTGTTCACTTAATAGTATATGATACAGGTACAACATCGATTTTCCGGACCTTTGGTTCCCAAGCCTTTCCAGATTATTAATATTTCTGCCTTTAGAGAGCACAGTATTCCTTGGTCTTGGGATTATTGGACACCACTGCCTCATGAAAAACATTTTTCTTTGTCACTAATCAATAATGTGTACAAATCAGGGAACAGGTGGGGTCTGAACCCATGGGAAGTGAACCCTAAAACTCACAGGCCAGTGTGTTAACCACTTGGCAAGCTGGTTCTGAAAAGATTCATTTAATTAGGTATATGTCTGTACACCATAAGGAGGTTAGCATGGGCCACTACTGACCACAAGTACAGGTTTTTACAGATGAATCCCACACCAGCGTGGCTGTGGCATACTCTAGCTCAAGTCCCTTCAAAGCTGTTGTGATTTGTTTGCAATTTTGTTATTATAAATTTGTAAGTAATACAGAGAAAGATCACAGTCAGTGGGATTCGAAATGACTTGTAAGAAGTGGCAAAGCTCCTCTAGATCATTTTTTGTATAGACCTCTACTTACTTCTGTGTGGTGCATCGATAAAAAAAATTGTAAGTAATGTATACAGTACCGTATGATGTCAGAAATTTGGTCTTTTTCAGTGCCTAAATAATTTTTTTTTTTATTTTCAGGTGCCACAGCAAATGGAACCAACGACTTAATCAATGACCTCGCATTGTCTTCTGTTTCGGAAGACAGCGATTAATTTCCTAGCTAGATTTTCAGTCTACCTATAATTAAAGAAGGTAGTAAAAAAATTTCTGTGTATAGATAAAACATATGCCTTTATATTTTTTAGTGACTGAAAGGCAAGCCATAATTTTACTATACTTTTCTAAATGTATAAGTTAATGTTGATAATTGTTGTGGTGGGTGTGGATGGTGTTCTCTTAGCCTTAGTGATCTTGTGCTTCAGACATCCTTAAGGAAACTGTCTGAGGTTTGTGAAAGCTTATTGTGAATTTCAAATTTTGTTGGTGTCGTCGGTAACTTTCAGTGCCTTTTTTTTTTTTTTTTTTTTTTTTTTTGTAATGAAGTTTGCGTTGGTAAGCAATGTTAATTTTTCTGGATATTGTGATTTTGAAGGGATAAAAACTGTTTATTTCAAATCAGTTTTCACACTGTAAATAGAGGTGGTCCTTAATTTACAAACACCCATACTTAACATCCGTACTTAACGACTGTACTTGACATTCACACTTGACATTCACACTTGACATTCACACTTGACATCCGCGCTTGACATCCACATTTACAAATATACACACATAGGAAGCAAATTAAGTTTTACAATTCTTGAACTGCAGAAACAAATAAGTCAAGCCTAACTATCCTTTGTGTTATTGTTTTCCACACCAGGAACACAGTTGTGGGTTGAAACACAGCAAAAGTAACACAAATGTAGGTTGAAACACAAGAAGTGACATTTTTGTAAGTTGAAACACCTGTTTAGTAGCACATAAGTTGACACACAAGGAAAGTTAGAGACCTGCAGTACAGTGGACCCCCGGTTAACGATATTTTTTCACTCCAGAAGTATGTTCAGGTGCCAGTACTGACCGAATTTGTTCCCATAAGAAATATTGTGAAGTAGATTAGTCCATTTCAGACCCCCAAACATACACGTACAAACGCACTTACTTAAATACACTTACATAATTGGTCGCATTTGGAGGTAATCGTTATGCGGGGGTCCACTGTAGTTCTTTTACAGAAAATTTGTTGACATGCCAAGTGACATTTGGTTGTCTTGCTCTTTTCTCTCTCTCTCTCTACCAGTTCTCACTTTTCTCTAATTCTTAGTCTTTCCTCTTTCTTTTTTCTCTCTCTCCTCTATTTCTTGCTTCTAATTTTTACTCTCCTTCATTTCTTGTACTCTTCCTTTTCCTGCTCTTTCCCCTCAGTTCCCTTGATGCTGGTGAGGGGACACGAGCAGAGGAGCTGGACTTGTTTGCCCCCTCTTTGGATCAAACCTGAATGCCTTCCATTCCTCCATATTTTCATTGTCACTTTATCGCTGACATTGGGAATTTTTTGAGGAAGATGGAAGAGTATTGTGTTTGTAATACATGGATGCTAAATTACCAATTATCTTGATGGGTTAATTCCTCAGGGATTGAAGGGTTGGCAAAAATTAGAATATTGCAGTGTTTCAGATTAGCCATGTTGTTTTGGGTTTGTATGCCTGCAGGCTTCTGGCAGCAACAGTCTGGTTAACCAGCACCCAGTAATGATGTCGGGCATCAGAACAGGTTTTGAGAGCAGAATTCTTGGCGAAACTAGCCACAGGTACGTTGGATCGTTGTCTTTTCACTACCATCGTACATTTTAGTGCAGTAGAGAAGAAAAAGGCACAGTACCGTGACTGGAACAATACACAAATAACCCACACATTAGAGAGAAACTTAAGAAGACATTTTGGTCCAACTTGCCCTATTTAAGTCATAAGCTTCTCTCTCCTATGTGCGTGTTATTTATGTGGTGTTTAGTGCTCTAAGATGTGAAGGAACATTTTGAACACTAGTCGCAAAATCTATCGTGCACTTTGCAATTCACATTGCCGCTACTTGATACTGTCAACTGTTACCCCAAACACCTTCATGCAGGGCACATGTAAATTTTATGAACTTAATTGTGCTGTACACACATTCTATTGACCTGTGTGCTTCTTATTAGTTCCTAGTCTTGTTGTAACACTCACTATACTTTACTGTATTGTGTGCTTCTTAATCACATTCTTAATAACACATTCTTAATAACATTCACTATACTTTACTGTCCTATGTGCTTCTTAATAGTTCCTAATCTTAATAACATTACTGTTCTGTCCTATGTGCTTCTTAATAGTTCCTAATCTTAATAACATTACTGTTCTGTCCTATGTGCTTCTTAATAGTTCCTAATCTTAATAACATTACTGTACTGTCCTATGTGCTTCTTAATAGTTCCTAATCTTAACATTCACTATACTTTACTGTCCTATGTGCTTCTTAATAGTTTCTGATCTTAACATTATACTGTCTGGTCTGAGGCACTGTGGAAGAGGTGATCGCGATCATCCTTATCAGAGAACACTAAGAGATATGATTGAAGTGTAATTAACACTTGTCAGTGCTCAGTAATAATCCACATTTAGACAAACTCAGGAGATTAATTGATCTGTATATATCGACCCCTTTCTGCTGAAGAGGATCCCAGGAGAGGGTTGAAATATACAGATCAATTATATCCTGAGTTTGTCTCCATGGGGGTTATTAATCACTAAGATGTGTGATTATTCATGTACATGAGGTCTTCAAACTTTAAAAATACCACAAACTCGACACAACTACAAAGCTTTTGTATCAGCATAGTTGAAAGTACTATTCTTTGTAATATTGTTTTTAAGTTGATTCACCAGGCATGCAGCTTTTTCAAGTTTAAAGTTCAGGAACTTTTTTGTTAGTCGAAACACTAGGCACAACTTGTTTGCAAGTTTAAACACCAGATATCCAATGTGTTTGTAAATTAAAACACCAGAAACACAACATATTTGTAAGTTTAAACTCTTGGAACACAACTTGTTTGCAACTAAAATGATAGGAACACAACTTGTTTGCAACTTAAAATGTTAGGAACACAACTTGTTTGCAACTAAAATGTTAGGAACACAATGTGTTTGCAACTTAAAATGTTAGGAACACAACTTGTTTGCAACTTAAAATGTTAGGAATGCAACTTGTTTGTAAGTTTTGGACCTCTTGTCTGTCTGTGTGTAAAAATTTCCATTTAGTAACTGAAGTTACTAAAGTTTTATCCCCAAAGACCTAAAAATAGGTTATCCACATTCAGTACTTTAGTCAGGCTTATGGGTAAATATTGCTTACTAAACCACCTGGTATTTATTTTTTACACGACTTCATTGCTTATAGAGAATGCTGAACTATTACTGAATTTTCTCATATTTAATAGTCATTTTTTAGTCTCTTGTATGTAAATCAGACGAAACTAAAATCTGTTAATGGATTATGTTATGAAAATAGTTTGAGATGGTATGATTGTTTTTTTAAGTGACAGTGTGTCCATCTTCCTCATGAGGCAAAGGAAATTTAATGTGTATCCTTTCTCAGATTTGCCAAATGCACCAGTAGTAGTTATATTGTAAGCTTTTCAAATTTATTTCAATGTTTTTTAATGAATTATGAATTGTCTCTTGACAGAATTAAGTCGCTCAATGTACAGTGGTGTGCAATATAAAAAAGGAGTATGTAGATAAAAGGTGCAAGGAACAAAAAGGCACAATACCATGACTGGAATAATACACAAATAACCCATACATAGGAGAGAGAGGCTTATGACGTTTCGATCTGACTTGAGCCATTTACAAGTCCAGGTCGGACTGAATCATCTGCCACAGGCTTCTCTACTATGTGTGTGTTATTTGTGCAAGATAAAGGTGTGTTTAGTAACTTTATAATAATTATAATGATGCAATGGAACAGAAATTTGAGTATGTTAAATCCTTACACTGTAGGGAATTCCTCAAAATATATTTGCTGTTTATAGTTTTTTTGATCAGTCACTACATGGAAAATTACATTTATGTAAGTAGGTCTATACACTTCTGTATATAATTAATTGTAATGACAGTATTGTTATTTTAGTGAAAATAATTATAGTTAACATTTCACAACATTAAAATAAAGTCCTGTAATTTTGAAGTCTGGCATTTTAATCCTTTTGTGTAGCGTGTCGTTCAGATTTATTTAACCCTTAAACTGTCCAAACGTAGATTTACATTTGCTCGCGTAGCACTCCGAACATAGATCTACGTTTTTTTACGTGCTTTCAAATGGAGAAAATCGAAGTCGGAGCACTACGCGCATAAATATAGATCTACGTTTGGACAGTTTAAGGGTTAAGATATGCTCCTGAAGGCTCTATCATGTTCAAAAATCATGATAAATGACACTTGAGTCCTGGAAATGGGAAGTACAATGCCTGCACTCTAAAGGAAGGGTTTGGGATATTGGCAGTTTGGAGGGATATGTTGTGTATCTTTATACGTATATGCTTCTAAACTGTTGTATTCTGAGCACCTCTGCAAAAACAGTGATTATGTGTGAGTGAGGTGAAAGTGTTGAATAATGATGAAAGTATTTTCTTTTTGGGGATTTTCTTTCTTTTTGAGTCACCCTGCCTCGGTGGGAGACGGCCAACTTGTTGAAAAAAAAAAAATCATTAATAACACTATGTAACAAAATTTCACTTTTGTCGTGCTCCTGGGAAATAAGCATCATTTCCCAATTCTTTATAACTAAACAAAATTTAAAAAGCAATTTTGATCCCAGAACTTTGCTTTTGTGGTCAGGAAACTTCTGGAACACTTTCGAGAGAGAGTGATGTAAAACTATTATGTTCTAGGGTTTTGCTTTGCTAATATAAAAACAGGGACTCGCAAACCATCATTCAGTTTAGCTCTGCCTACCTGAGAAGACACATCAGAAGTGAAATGGCATCAAGAGGCTGCAGTCATTCTCCAAATGCATTCTGCTACATATGTGGTCAATTCATTAACCCTTAAACGGTCCAAACAGATCAACGTTCAAATTTGTAGTGCTACAAAAGTAGATCTACTTTTTTTTACATTTTTTCAAATATAACAAAAAAAAAAAGTAGATAAAAGGTAAAACAAAAAAGAAGATCTACATTTTTTTATACTTTCAGATGTTGAAAAAACGTATATATACGTTTGGACCATTTAAGGGTTAATTCTGTAACGGCATCAAAAACAATGTGTGAAGCTTACAAAGCATATTTTGTCATGCCAGTTGTGGACCAAGACAAGACCTGGGCACCTCATGTTACTTGTGAACATTGTAAGAAAACATTGGAAGGTAAGAAAGTCATTAGTTATATGAAGGGTAAAATTTTGAATAGGAACAATTTTAAAAGTGGGAGTTGTCACAGTTGCTCTTTGCTGATGACACTGTGCTCTTGGGAGATTCTGAAGAGAAGTTGCAGATGCTGGTGGATGAATTTGGTAGGGTGTGCAAAAGAAGAAAATAAAAAGTGAATACAGGAAAGTGTAAGGTTATGAGGATAACAAAAAGATTAGGTGATGAAAGATTGGATATCAGATTGGAGGGAGAGAGTATGGAGGAGGTGAATATATTCAGATATTTGGGAGTGGACGTGTCAGCGGATGGGTCTATGGAAGATGAGGTGAATCATAGAATTGATGAGGGGAAAAGGGTGAGCGGTGCACTTAGGAGTCTGTGGAGACCAAGAACTTTGTCCTTGGAAGCAAAGAGGGGAATGTATGAGAGTATAGTTTTACCAACGCTCTTATATGGGTGTGAAGCGTGGGTGATGAATGTTGCAGCGAGGAGAAGGCTGGAGGCAGTGGAGATGTCATGTCTGAGGGCAATGTGTGGTGTGAATGTAATGCAGAGAATTCGTAGTTTGGAAGTTAGGAGGAGGTGCGGGATTGCCAAAACTGTTGTCCAGAGGGCTGAGGAAGGGTTGTTGAGGTGGTTCAGACATGTAGAGAGAATGGAGCGAAACAGAATGACTTCAAGAGTGTATCAGTCTGTAGTGGAAGGAAGGCGGGGTAGGGGTTGGCCCAGGAAAGGTTGGAGGGAGGGGGTAAAGGAGGTTTTGTGTGCGAGGGGCTTGGACTTCCAGCGGGCATGCATGAGCGTGTTTGATAGGAGTGAATGGAGACACATGGGTTTTAATACTTGACGTGCTGTTGGAGTGTGAGCAAAGTAACATTTATGAAGGGATTCAGGGACACTGGCAGGCCAGACCTGAGTCCTGGAGATGGGAAGTACAGTGCCTGCACTCTGAAGGAGAGGTGTTAATGTTGCAATTTAAAAACTGTAGTGTAAAGCACCCTTCTGGCAAGACAGTGATGGAGTGAATGATGGTGAAAGTTTTTCTTTTCCGGGTCACCCTGCCTTGGTGGGTATCTGCCAGTGTGTTAATAATAATAATAATAAAAAAAAAATTCTTATCCAGACCTTTCAGGTTCCCATTTAAAGATTTGATTGATGTCCACCTGGTGTCTTGCAGTGTCTTTAATGGAGGACACACTCATGCAAATTTGGGTGACATCTGCAAAGGAAGGCACGGTGCTGTGGTTTACATCACTGTCGACGTTACATATGAGGATGAGGAACAGGCAGGTACTGTGCCTTGTGGAACAGAGCTTTTCACAATAGCTGCCTCGGACTTTACTCTGTTTACTACTACTATTTGTGTTCTATTTGTTAGGAAATTATAGATCCATCTACCAACTTTCCCGTTATTCTTTTATAATGCATTTTATGTGCTATTACACCATGGTCACACTTGTCAAAGGCTTTTGCAAAGTCTGTGTATACTACATCTGCATTTTGTTTGTCTTCTAGAGCATCCAGGACCTTGTCATAGTGGTCCAGAAGTTGGGACAGACAGGAGCGACCTGCTCTAAACCTATGTTGCCCTGGGTTGTGTAACTAATGGGTGTCTAGATGAGTGGCGATCTTTCTTCTTAGAACCCTTTTCAAATATTTTTATGATATGGGATATTAGAGCTATCGGTCTGTAGTTCTTTGCTATTGCTTTACAGCCCCCTTTGTGGAATGGGGCTATGTCTGTTGTTTGTAGCAGCTGTGGGACAACCCGTGTGTCCATGCTCCCTCTCGATAGGATGTTAAAAGAACATGATAGAAGTTTTGTGCAGTTCTTGATGAACACTGAGTTTCATGAGCCTGGGGCAGAGTGCATGGACATGTCATTTATCACCGTTTTGATGTCTTTTGGCATCAGGATAATATTAGATAGGTTTGAGTCAACCAAATTCTGTCTAGCTCAACAGAAATTCATTTAGGTCTTCGAATCTGTCTGGTTAGCGGCTCGCTAAAAACCAAATCATATTGGGACTTGAGTAGCTCACTCATTTCTTTGATGTCATCTGTGTAGGACCCATCTTGTCTAAGTGGGGGCCCAATACTCAATGTTGTTCTTGACTTAGATTTGGCACAAGAAAAGAAGTATTTTGGGTTTCTTTCAATTTCATTTATGGCTTTTAGTTCTTCCCGCTTTTCTGGACTCCTGTAAGATTCCTTTGGCTTTAGTTCGATGTTAGCTACTTCTCTGACCAGTGCCTCCCTTCATATTGCGGATACATTGGCCTCTTTTAGCCTCTCTGTTATTCTTTGCTTTTGCCTGTATAGGGAGTGCCTTTATCTTTCTAGTTTACATCCTCTCCTTTTCCTTAACCCTTTCAGGGTCCGTCCCGTAGATCTACGGCTTTACGTTCAGGGTCCAAACCGTAGATCTACGCCATGAGCTCAGCTCACTCTGATAAACTGTGAGTGGTACATTTGGGCCTAGATATGAGAGAATACATCTATGTGGTATGTGTGCACCACATAAAACAGATCCTGCAGCACACTGTGCATAATGAGAGAAAAAAAATGAAATCATGATTTTTCGATTAAAACAGCAACTTTGCAGTGTTTTTTCGTATGTTTTTTATAGTTGTATTTGCGATTTCTTGGTCTCATTTGATAGAATGGAAGACATATTACAGAAATAGAGATGATTTTGATTGGTTTTAGCATTGGAAATGGCTTGAAACTGAGCTCAAATTAGCGGAAATGTTAAATTTTTGCCGATATTCAAGAGTAAACAAACGACCTCACACGTCTAATACACATCAGCTGGTGGGTCTAATATACATTCACAAATATGGTGATGATATTTATACAATTATTACAGTATTGCATAACAGTAAATCTTCTATTTTTTGGTGTGAATAAAAATTCATTATGTGAATAAAAAATCAAAATGGAATTTATTTGTAAAGCCTCAAAACATAACTAATGAACAGAGGAAATGTTAGTTTAGTGCCAGGAATGCCTACATTGTTCATTCTGGACCCTATTTTGAAATTGGAATATTTTGAACTTTGTGTTAAATTGGCCAAATTAACAATTTCCGATCACTTTATTTTGTAGTTGAAACAGTTGACTTGGCGATTTCTTGTGCTCAATCGATAGAATAGAAGTAATACTAGTGAAATAGCTAAGAATTTGGTTGATTGGAATAATGTAATTGGCCTAAAATGGGAGTCAAAGTCGGCAAAATCGCCGATTCGTAAATATCGCTGACACATCAAAATTCGCGAGAGCATAATTTCGTCAATTTTCCACCAATTTTCGTACTTTTTGTTTTATTACCTTCACAAAAAGATTCTCTACGATTTCATAAGAAAAAATAACAAATTATTTTTTGAAATATCTTGGACACTGGTGCGTGACTCCAGATTTGGGCCTTGGACCCTGAAAGGGTTAAAGGAATATGCCTTGAGCATACCTCGAGTGCCACAGAGTTAATTTGTTTTAGACATAGGTTTGGATCTGTGTTGCTTAGGATATCTTCCCAGTTTATATCATTTAGGACCTGGTTGACTTGGTCTCACCTTATGTTTTTGTTATTAAGGTTGAAGTTGGTGAAGGTTTCCTCGTGACTGATCACATTTTGTTGGTCTGAAGCCCTGCACATACATGTCTGAACCTCTGTTTTGTTATCTGAGTACAGAGTTCCCACAAAAACACTCTGATTTCAAATAGGTATAACATGTAACTTTATTGTAATAATGTTTCGCAGTTAGTAGCTTCAGATGCAGGATTTCACTCAGTTTCATGTGGTATAGGGTAGCATTAAAGGC